AAGATACTTAAATATTTTTGGAAGAAAAAAAGTAAAGCGTATTTGATAAGTTCGTTTTCAAAAAGTATTGAAACATCAATACAAATTTTTAAGAATACTATTGCAAAATAAAAAGAAAGATTTTCATTATTGGAAATATTATCTTGATTGGCGGCCAACGTAAACGGAAAGAAAAATGTCCGTAAGGATCCCGGGTAAGGATGTCCCGGAGAATTTGCTTCTCCCGAGAAAGAAATCCTCCAATAATTAACTCTCAGGGAGTAGCATTTTCCCCGAAAATTTGTGAGGAGGAAATTCGAACTTTGAAAGAGCTGTTTGACACTTTTTTGACAGCTCAACTCCGCCATTTAAAATAAAAAGTCTTCAACGAATTTTTGGAAAGGGAAAAGAGAGAAAACTACCAGGGAGTTTCTGCTCAGAATCGGCCTAATAATTTAAAAATATCCTTATAAAAGGATAATTTAAAAATATCCTCATAAGAGGATAATAATATCTCCAAAAAGAGCAAAAATATTCTTATAAAGGGATAATAATAAAAAAATAGGATGTAATAAATAATACCGTTTTAAGTAATGAATATAAAAAGCTGTTAATATGCATTAGGGTGGTCCTTAAAAATATCAAAACCTAAATTCTTTATGAGGCACCTCCTTGTTTCATATGACATCCACGCAAATTTCAAAGGGTTATAGGATATGAAAAATTTAAAACTTTTTTGATCACAAAAATTTAACTTTGACCAGCTATAGCTCAGCCCGTTTTGGTGTGACAAAAACAAATGGTATGTCGTTAGCGGTGCACATTAATTCTTTCCAACGAAGTACTGATTCGTATTGATCGGACTTGTCAGTTAAGTCATGAATGGAATCATACCCCGAAACACACACAAAAATACCTTTATATCAAAACACTTCCGGAAGAAAAAACAAAAAAAAAAATGCGTTTTAAGCTCAGAAAGTTCATGCTAAGTCTCCCCTATACATATGTATGTACGTAAGTTTCTTGGTATTTTATCAAGATACATAATTATTTCTAATGCTGGTTATCAGATGCTAAATTTCCAAAACCCCTAAAAATTATTTTGCAATTTTTTAATTTTCGTGTACATATGTAGGTATATCTTTTTATTAAAAGTATGCCCCGTACAAAATTTAGATGTTGATATTTTAAGCATCACCCTAATGTGCATACATACATATGTATATGAGAGTAAATGAATTCGAGTAGAAGCCCAAGATGAGATTTAAAAAGTAAGTAAATAAATTTTCTTATATTTTAGCTAGAGAAGTTTTTAGTATATACTTAGTAGTCATTAGCATAAGTAGGTAATACAAGTATACATATGTACATACATATAAGCTGCAGGAACTGAAGGTTTAGTATTAGCATTAGAGGTACGAGTTAAAATTTTCCATGCAAATTGTGCTAAATTTTTTTAAGACTTTTTCTTTCTAAATGTGTATGTGTTAGTAAATACATGCATACATCCATAGCCGTGAATGTGTGGAGTTAATAATAAACTCATTCGTCAATTGGAAGTCGTTTCAGATTTCGTGAGAATCATGATGGCAAACGCAACACACGTTAAAGATTTGGCCAGAAGTCCATTTTATTAAAAGGGATATAAAAGATTCAAATAAAAATGTTTCTAAAAATTCTGAATAAAAATTTTAAAATTTTTGGGTGCAAATGTTAAATAAAGTTTGTTGAATTTTCATAATTTTTGTACGAAATTTGCCCGTTACGTGTCGCCGGGGTCGAGATATTTTGAAAACCCATATTTATGAATCGATTTCTTTCAAATATGAGACATGTATTAGATGCATAATAAATATAATGTGCCCACTAGATGGCGCTTTAGTCGAAATATTGATTGATATCTTTTGGTTTCCAATACACTCAGGTCTTTTTTTTATGCCGCACATGCGTTTTTCAGAAAGCAAAAGTTCTTTACTTTCATACAAAAACATGGGATGGGTTCCAGCATTTTCAAAAACCGCATAAATTAATACGTAAAAAATTCTAAAAAAAACGCATAAAAAAATCCAGTGAGGCAATATTAAGCAAAAGAACATTTAATTTCTTCACTTCAAAACTTATTGTTCCATGTAAACCTGGACATTATTTAAATAAATAAAATTTTATCTGTATTTTAACCAAAAACAAAAAAAAAACACAATAAATGCATGAATTATGTAAGAATACAAAGACAGACAATTTAACAGAAGCAATTCCAATGACTCAATTTTTGCCACCAAAAATACATAAAAATCCGATTTTTTCAACATAATTTTAATACATAGACCTTTTAATTGTGAAATTTTGTGCCAGTTTTCCTTGATATAAAGTAGTTCGGAAAAAAAAAATTTCTGAAGCGATCTGATTGATACATGCCGATACACAATTTAAATGCTTATATTAAAAAAGCAAAATTCCACTCATGATTCAAATCTAAAGGAGAGCAAATGACATGTATGGATGGCATCAAGGCGAATTTATATAAGGTGGTGTTGTTTAATCAGCTGTGTGTAGCGTTTGATTGTCAAAATTTTATATTTTGCTAGTGAGTGAGTGAAAACGTGAGAGTGTTTGCATTTTCTGTCGCCCTTTTTCATTCGGAGAAGAATAGCTGAAATTTGACAATCACCAGCTAAAAGCAAAAACAAAATACAGGTAATTGTTGTATTTGTTGAATCGATCGATACCACCTTATATGAATTCGCCTTGGATGGCATTTGAAAATTTTTAAATAAAATATGTTAAAATTTAAAATTTTTTTACAATGTGTAAAATGAAGAGTATACCCAAGAAAATAAGTCAGAAAATGAGACGGATACCACCGCCGATTGATAAAAACCCGAAAACGGGCGATTATCGTTCGTCAAAACGGTCTTGTTTGTACAGGCATATCATTCTTCAATACGATGTTTAAACAATCGGGGACCGGGGGATTTTCTTTTATATCGGAGATTCATGTGGACATTATCGTATCTGAACTTTTTTTTACTAACTTCCATTTTTAATTTTTGACTTTCGCATTCGTGGAACTTATTGCCTTAATATCACAAGTTTCCGCTAAACATTTCATTAAATCAGCCAAATGTTATAGGTATGTATATATAAAATTAAAGTGCGGGGTAAATGTTTACAGAACTACCTCGTCGGATTCGAGACATTTGTAAGCATAGTGGGATGCGCTTAAGCAATAATTACGCATTTTAAGATTTCATACGACTGATTCACTTCTAGATTTCGCAAAATTTGTTATTTAAAGAAATCTTCAAACAAAGCACGTTAAACTTATATACTGGCTTACGTCCGTGGGTTCACTTATTATGGGTTTCCTATGTCCCATGGCATCAGTGTAGAACAGTCCAATGAGATGCCATTTCACAGATCATGGACAAGTTAATTTTTGTGGTAACTGTAAGTGACTTTTTTCGATTTCGATAAAACCCAGGAGCGCTTATACAATACTTTGTTAAAAACAAGATTTTTAGGGTTTAGCAAGTGCAAATTTAGGGATTTAGAAATTTCTCAATGTCTCTCTAGATATGCATAACTAGGAAAAAAAAAACAAAACTTTAAAAATCAACGCGACATTTTTAACCGCTTAAAACTTGCACTAGAATGTCATTAGACACGTAACTGCATACTCAAAATTTTACTAAAAATTCAGATTAAAAAGTTCACAATTTTGATGTATTGTATTGAATATTTCCAAATTCCGTAGTATAAAGTTTGAAAGTTTGACTTGTGTGATTTTGGTCAATATACTATATGCGTACAGAAAAGTGACCATTAGCTGAGAAGGAAAATACAAAAACAAAATATTTTCACTTCTGGCTAAGTGGACATGTTGAGTAATCATTGACGATTTCTTATGTAAGTCAAGAGTAACTGGACTATAAAGCTTGAACCATATTTTTTTAAAGAAAATAACAAAAAAATTTCGACTTGAAAAACATTGCAAATATTTAGCAAAAATCATCATGCACTTACTTTTGATCGCCAGTGTATGTGCGAAATAAGTACATATGCATCTTCACGAGCATTTGTAGAAACTTATGAATTCACGTACAATCTCGACGATCCATGTACCATTAAGGTGGTCGAAAAATACACAGGAAATCCATTTTACTTTAAAATCAGCTTATATTCAATTTTGCTGGCGGGGCTTTGAAGTTTTCATTTGCGAGTATTTTAAATGAAATTGCTATAAAATCGTTAAAAAAGTTATGATGAACATTTAACTCGTAAAATTTTACTAAGAATTTTTTTTATGATCGATAAGATAAAAACAAGTGATTTTATGTGTTCGTAATCGCAACACACACGAACGGCTCAACATATTTGTATTTTTTTTTTTGTTTTTTAATAAGCGTCATAATTTTATTTTAGAAAACTTTCGAAGACAAATATTATATTTGATAAAAAAATATATAATTTGAATGATAATTTTATGGGAATTCTAAGGAAAAATTCATTTCCTTCATATAAAATACATAGAAAACTAACTAAAATGCTCAGGTGGCACAATTAAATGTTAAATCAATTAAAAAATCCGGACTATCTTAATGCATATGTACATACATACTAGCATACATATAGCAAATTGCATTTAAATAAATTTTCTCAACAATGATTTTAAACTGATATTCAATATCGGTAGAGTATCGATGTTTTATATATAGATCAGCCGATATTTTTTGTTGGTAAAATCGATATCACCGTTATCGATAATTTTATGACTGGCAACGTTCGTACTGTGCGGTCACTTAAACTTTCGCTTGAAAGAATTTCCAAAGTTTAACTCGTTTACAAAGTGCTAAGCAGTTCTAATTTGTGTTATTCACACCGTAAAAAGTTTACTGAAGCCAAATTCCAATAAATTGACTTGATTTAGTCATAAAGTGCGTTGATTGAAAAGTTTTATTTAGTCGGCCTTCGTGCATATTTGCCTGTTTTGGTGCATTATTGTTGCTTTTGCGTGAGAGTGTAAGGAATATCGCTTTTGTTTGTTAACCTCATAAGGTATCGATATTTTATGTGCGATATATCGATCAGCCGAGATTTTTTTGTTGCTTATATCTCCATTATCGATGATTTTATGACCGATATTGCACCCCTAGATACATATATATGCAACTAATCTTGGTTATAAAGACAAACTTAACAAATTTTTGAATTTGAAAAGAATCTCAGAATCCCAAAACTCACAAAACCGACTTCCAATTGGAAAAATGTATTCGCTTGATTTTTTTTTTTTAATAACTAAAGGTGCTTAAGATTTTGTTAGTGTGTGTTAGTAACTTACATTTGTAACATTTTTCACATTTGATAGTAACTTTGCAAGCTTAAGTGTTAAATAACAAAACAAAAAAGATTTAAAAAAAATGCATGAACAATAATGCAAAAATTAAACGTACACTAAGCAAAAAAACGCACATACATACACACATAACAATTTTACAAACATACACGCAATATACGAACGCACATCTTGCGCTAATATACACATATTTTTGTTGCTTTTGCTTGTTTTTTTTTGTGTTTACCCAACACGTACATAGATACAAGTAAATATAATACATACTTGGTTTCAAAATTAATTTAGTTGTGGCTTCGTATTTGTTTTTATTTTTTAACTTGCTTTGTTTTACTTGTATTTTGGTTTTACTTTTGCTTTTACTTTTGTTGTGATATTACAGCTAAATTCGATGCTGGTTGTTGGTTGTTCAGTTTCTTTGTTTGCTGGTGTCCTTTTATCCTTACGCCTACTACATACATAGATACATACTTATATACAGGCATATCCTTCGCACTTACATTTAATTTGTTATCAATCATGCACACATTTGTGTACAACTACATATGTACATACATACATACATACATACATACATACATACATGTGTGTCTGTTTCGACTGCTTGGCACATTCATGGCGCGCCTGCGTAGCGCTTCACATCGCCCCTCATTACATTTATAATAACATACCTCTACTTTCAGTATTCGTCTTCACATTCATTTCACTTAGCATTTAGCCTTTTCCGTTCGACTTACTGCTTTTCTTTTCACCTTGCTTGCTTCGAAAGTTTTAAAAAGTCCTTTTCCAATTTCTCGCCATTTATCTCTTCTTGGCTTAAAAACATTTTTTGAAAAAATTTAGAAAACGAAATACCCGTTCAAAAAGTGTTGTACGTCTGCCGCGTTGACGTTGGCTAGTTGTTATTCATGCTGCTGTAACGAGGTGGAAAAAAAATTTCGATTAAATTGCTTATTCGATAAAAACGCAAACCTTAATAGAGGATAGTACATAAAATAGTTTGATGACACATTATATAGTTGGAGAAATGGAGCTCAAATACACACATATAAACATTTAATAAAACCAATATATGTATAAGTACTGCATGCGTATGTGTATAACATTTAGTACTTTAGATCCCGTTGGTCTTACAAGTTGCCGCTTCACACATTTTGCTAAGGTTCAAAAGCCAATTAAGTTAAAAGCTAAGGGGTTAAAGTGTTCTAGAAAATACTGCCCGCTAAAGTTTACTACATATCTCTGAAGACAAAAACATACATATGTTTGAATTTTATTTATACGTAAAATTATATGTAAGATGATGGATTTGTGAAAAAACGTGGACCGAAAACTTCAATCCATCGTAAAAAAAAATTTAAAAGGGTTTGATTTTTCACTACCACGCATGGATATTAACGCTTGGGCATTACTTTGTTGAGACCCTAACATGGCAGCTACACAAAGTACCTACCTTAATGTTTGCTGGGATGGTTTGTTTGCGCATTAGGGTGCACCGCTATCCCTTCAAAAAAAAGCGGGACTGTGTTCCCAGCGGGATTATAATTTTTTTTTTTATATTTTAAGACCTCCGCCAAAATAATCCGGAAAAATATTAAGATTTACGTGAGCTGGATCCATTTTTTTAGTTTTTTTTTTTTAATAAATTTGAATATATATTTTTTTATCAACTCAGATGATAGACGTGTTTAAGCTTAAAAGGTCTGCACAAAACTTGTTAAAGACTTTTATTAACGGAATCAAAATAATGAGATATTTGAAGTAGAGGTGGGCGGTATCAGGAAGGTCTGTAAAAATTTTGCAGGCAGGACGGGACCAACATGCTTTTCCGCCACCCCCGATAAAATCGCAACCTCCGCAAATTCAGAAAATCTTCTTTAAAAATGTTGTATGAAATATGCACTTTTTCATGTTATATTGAGACGCAAACGAACAGCAAAGCAAAACAAAATACTAGGAAGATGCCAGATCTTTCATTTTTTTTCATTATTTTAAATTAATTTGAAGGACGTGAAATTTCTTAGTGATAGATTTCGGGACCCACGGGAACTGCGTACAATTCTAAAAAAACGTGGGAATGGGCGCGTTCGGAACTTAAAAATTTAGTTGCGGGATGGGCGGGATCGGGATCGAATATTTAGTCCCGTGCCCATCTCTAATTTGGAGGTATATTTTTTGGAAACATTTTGGCGGAGGTCTTAAAATATAATAAACTTTATATATCCGTTATAAAATCTGCAAATTTTTTTTGTGGGGCATCCTAATACATGTACATATATATGTACGCAAATGTATATGTTTGTAAGTTAAGAAAAATATTCAAATATTATGCAAAAAAATCTTAAAAGCAGATTGGCTGTGTTTTAGGAAACAGCTGATCTAGAATTAGATCTACGCGGCGGTGGTTAATGTAACGGCTGCTCTTCGTGTCACCTTGCATAAGTCTTGTCCGCCTCGTCCACCTCGTCCACCTCTTAGCCGCTCTCCAGTCCATTGATGGAATAAGGAGCTTCAGAAGTTGACGAGTTTTATTTTTTAAGCCGGACCCTCAATACAAATATTGAGATGCACTGGAAACACTACCGATGGACATAGAGGGAGTACAAGAAGCTTATTCGTTCTTCGAAAAGGGCTTTGTAATTATATTGAGTGGTGAATTTGAGTCAAATAGCTAGGATTTTCAAAGTCCTTAAAAAATACCAGACCGCTAAGCTGGGTTCACTCAAGAAGCCTGACAAGGTGACAAGGGGTCAGGCTCGCTCAGTCTTTTGGATAGTCATTTCCATCCCCTCGGCAAAAGAGTGAGAGAGTGTGAGCACCACAGTCTCAAGATAAAAATGGTTTGTTGCCAGAACTGTTGCTAGTGAAGATGCCTTAAAATATGCTATTGAACGTTTTGACAGCTTCAAATTGCCTATTAGGCGGGAAAATCTTGCGAGACGGTTCTGCAAAATCTGCCCATAAGACCATCTGTAAACTTAAAATATATGGGTGCTAGTATGATACAGTGTAGAGTAAGGCACAGGGTCAGGACCTGGAGTCTATATTGAAAGTAACGGCGACAATCTTCACTTCTCTCTTGAGGAACATATCTCGGTATTGGCAATCGTCAAGGCCATGGACTACGTTATGGAAATAGTTGGATAGGTAAGAGTTTACGTGCCTGCAATCAGTGGCAATCTGAACTCAAGCCAATCCTCTAACTACTGCCAAACTAGTTTGGTAAATCAAGTCATGACTAAAATATGTTGGAAAACATAACGAACTTTATTTACTCTGGGTGCATGATCACTCACGTGGACCTGGCAATGGTGTTTATGACCATGTGGTCAGAGAGGGCTCGAGCCAAGTATTCTTCGTTCCGAAGCCAGTTATAGAACTTAAACCTACGCCCATTGAAGTCACTGTCAAAGACTGGGTGAATAACTTCGCTCAGTAATGACAGCTTCTCATAAAAATACAATCCCCGTTCGGAGTCGGCGAAAACTGTTGGTTCCTCCTAACTAACTAACTAACACTAACATATGTATGTGTAAGCGCCAATCAATTATTATTATTAATGACTGGGAGGCTTCGAGGGTCTGCAGGTGGGCAAAACTCATGTTGCCCTCCATCTCAGAGGCTATTGCTAGATGTTGGCTTTCATTGGGCAGATGGAACTGCAGACAACTTGTGGGACAGTTGACTGGACACTTCTTGTGGCATAAACCACTGAATGTAATAGTCATACATGCCAACCCCATAATAACGTCCCGTTAAAAATATCCTTCGAGTGAACGAGTCGATCATCCAGAAACGGAATTATAATCCATAACGACAACGAGAGACAGTTAGAAATTTTCTAAAATATCATGCATGCTTTTATTAAAAAAAAAAACACACACAGCATGCAACACTACGTTCAAAGAAAATGAGTGTTTTAATCACAGAGAATCTTATGTGAAGTAGAAAGTTTTTGGTTTTGAAAATTTTGCAATTATTCACCAGAGAAGAACGTCATAACACCGTCCAAAAAAATTCAACTTTTTTGCAGTCATGAAAAAAATTTCAGGAAGTAGAGACAAATTAAAAGTACCAGTATTTTGCCGTGGCAGATGGTTTTTCCTTAATATTTAAATTTTTATGAAAATAGATATAGAAAAGTTCTTTGAAATCGATTTTCAAAAACCAATATGGCGGATGGATTTCTAATAGAATTTTGTGCAATTTGATATCCAAAAGTTCTTTGAGTCGCTGATTACAAAACTGAAATCAGTTTTCAAAATTTCAAAATCGCGAAACCAATATGGCGGATGTATTTTTTTTTTTAATTATCAGATTTTTATGAAATTGACTGAAATCGGTTTTAAAAAATTCAAAATGGCGTATGACATTTTAAAAAATTTAATATTTTTATGACGGTGTTATATGTAGGTATGACGGCCAGAAGGAGTTTCTGTGTATATACTAGGAATATGTGTATGTTTAGCAGTCTAACATTAAAAAAGGAGGCATATAATTAGGCGCAGAGACTTATGTATAAACACCTTGTAAGTTTTTTAATTAGTACAAAGAGGTACTGAAACAACATTTAGCAATTAAATAACTTTGGTCTCGTATTTTTTTTGTGGCTGCCGCTTACCAAACTTGCTATTGTTTCGAAAATGGAAGGCGCTCCTGCGCAATGAGTTGCTTTTTCTTCCTTGCTCTCTGTTGAATATATGTACATATGCGCACGCATCACCAGCAAACCAAACTATTTCATAGTGTTCAGTGCTTTTAAAGTTTTTTTTTTTAAAGTATTGCATTATTTTTGTGAAAACTTTTAGATTAATTAGGAACATTTCGGCTTGTAAGCAGTTAAATATTTTAGTGGGTCTGTACTTATTTCGTACCTAGATACATTTATACATATTTCTGTTACTGGTTTTGTTTTAAACTTCTTGTTTTTTTTACAAATTTATAATACATATTTTTGGTTTTGGATTTTCAAATTAATTTTCTTTCGCGTTTTTTCCTTTTTTGAAGTAAGCATATCGTCACAATTTGGCACATTTACAATACATAATTTTTAAAATAATTTTTATTTTTTTTTCTCTTAAATATACATACAAGCTGAAGAGTTCAATTTGTTTACCAAATCCTACCCAAAAACCCTAAACACTCAGAAAATCATGGAAGTCCCAAGCTTAGAAATCTCTACAAAGTGCAGGGAAATTCCTCTGTTATAAAGTGAAGCCTCGATATAACGAAATCGAAGGGGTTGGTTAAACGCCTCGTTGTCAAGCAGGTTTTGTAATTCACTTGCGAATGAATATCAATCAAAGTCACTTTGAATTCTGAAAACTGAGTTTTTAGTTTTGTCTCTGACGTCAGGATTTTTTAAAGGACTTTGTAGTTTTAAAAATTATGATTTATTCCAAAAGTCATCTAAAAAATTCAGTGCAATGTTGAACAACAATATGCATACCAAATTAAAAAGAAAATTTTGTACAATTAAAAAAAAAATGGAAATCACCTTTTATTTCATTTAATTTTTTTAAGCTAATAAAGTTAGAAGAACGATATCTGAAGATTTGGTCGAGTGTACTATATTGATCCTATGCTGAGTCCCTTAAGTAAGTAAGCCACCGTTGACGTCCCAGTCCAAAAAAGCAAAGCGCTAGAAATACGCAATTGTGCGTAGTTTACCATCCCCTTCTCCATGCTCCTCTATAGAGAATTTAAGAGACTGACCTAGGCAAAGCAAAATCGACTCAAAACAGAGCAATTTACCCTTTATTAAAGGAATCTTCGGAGACGGTAGTTAAATCCCATTTCCCAGGCTGTTAATAATATGCAGCCACATAAGATGTATAGGGCCTTCACTCACAGCTAACAGAGAACTAGAATCAATAATAAGCATAGAAAAGTAAAGGAGAACATAGCATAGATTTATGATTTATTTTGTTCTTAAAGCACCAGAAAGACTACTATGGGAAACGAATCCCTTTTAACCGCGCAACCCGCGTACACCAAAAGTAAATCGATGGAGGCAGCTCTCGGTGAAGTGGTGGGTTTTCTACAAAATTACTGTACTTCAAACAATATACTTTATCAGATTTTCTGGATCTGGACTTTCTGGAATGTCCATCTATCTTGTCTGAGTTCCGGGCCATAGAATCATAGAAGGCAACAAGATAGCAGACAAATTAGCCAAGGCGGAAGCTTGTTTAATTAAATCAGTAGCGGTGGTAGTGGGATACCACCTCAGCTAACTACAAACTAGCAAGGAGGCGGTGTTCAGCAAATAGGACTTTCATACAACGAAATATGCCGCAGCGCTTTCGAGAGATACATAATGAAGCAGTTAGCCGATTTATGCACACATTCATAAGCGTTTCAATGTGGTCCGCGTAAGCTGCAAAAGTGTTTGATAGGTAGCCTACGGTACTTAGAATAAAAAAGTCCATGAGAAGTGCAGTAAAATGGCGCTATTGAGCGCTAATTGAATTCTGAGTGGCAACTTCGGAGGCACTACAACCAATCAACCAACATATGTATGTGCATTAGAGTGCATCACCAACAAACAAACAAATTCCGGGCTTTCGCCGGATTTATAAAATTTATTATATTTTAACACTTGTGGCAAAAATATTTTGGAAAAAAATCAAAATCGCATTATTTTGATTCCGTTGATAAAAATGCCTCAAAATTTGTTTGCAGATCTTTTAAGCTTAGACTCCACTATCATCGGACGTAATTATTTAGAAGAAAAAAATTTAAATATATTCTTATTTTTTTATAAAAAAAGCTCGGTTTTTGGAGTTATTTTTAAAGGGTCCAGCTCGCGTAAAATCTTAATATTTTTAAGAAATATTATTGTTAAAGTCGCAAAATATAATAAATTTATTCCGCTGAAGAAACAGGCCCGTTTTTTTTTATGGGGAGTGATGCACTCTAATGTACTCACATTCGTATTAAGTCATATTTTACTTTGTGGATATTTTTCGCGTTTTGGAAAAATTAGTTTGGCTCACCCGGACTAGGCGCATTGAAAGTATTTAATACCATTATCCCTATTCATTTATAAATATGTACATACATATATATCCCGCTTCGTGTTTACAAATAACAGCCAAGATTCTGGTTTATACATATGTATATATGTGTTTACTTAAAATTATTTAGCTGTATGTGAATAATTTATGCCACAAATAGTATATGTATGTAATTACATTTACACCAATAATTTGAAATTTTCAATTGCAAAATGAATGCAAGCCGTGTTTGTGTGTATTTGGGAGTGAAAATTTCTATTTTTGTGTGTTTGTTAGTAGCTATACAACTGATAAAACCACTACATTTTACATACATAATACACATTAAAAAAAAATAAAATCAAGCAAGCTTTCCATAATTTTATAGCAAATTAAGTGCTGCCATTATTTACTACCAAATTTCTTAATGTTATTAATTTTTTAAATGCATAAGCAATTTTTGTGGTTGTAAATTGATTTAGTTTTTTTTTTTGTATCTAAGCGCTATTTAATAAAATTGTTCAATTAATTTAGTTATGTAAATACTTTTAAGTGCATGGCATTTAAGTGGATATTTTGTTTATATATTTATGTTGTTGCTTTTAGTAAATTTTTTTGTTTGCTTTTGTTTTCTGCTTTTCTGCATTTAAATGGTGCTGCTACAATAACAATAACTAATGTGATGGGCTATCGGTAATTCGATGTTTGGCGCGTGCTTTGCTGCATGAGGCGCGGCGCAGGGAGCTAACACTGCCGCCGAAATTATCATGATCTAATGATTCCGATGAGAAAGCTACGTACGTTTTTTTTTTTTTTTTTTTTTGGAAGAAAATATACAAAACGGGAAAAGGGAAAAGTTTCATAAGCATTTGCAACTAATTTTTGGTTTTTTGATATTCATTTTCTAAATATGAAATTTTATGAATAGATACATATGTAAGTATGTACAATTAAGGGTATGCAAGTTAAAACGTTTGGTTTAAAATTCATCCAAATGATTGTGTCAGGAAAGGATAATTTTGCGAAAATTAAAATGCGCAAAGCATGCAAGATGAAACGATATAGGAGAAGTGTTGGAATGAAGGAATTGTTTTAAGGTGGTTTGTTGCCGATCATCAACTTTTTGAGAAAAAGGATTATCCAACAGCAGCTATTGCTTGCGACTTGGGGTTTTTTCAGCCCTGGGTCTGTAGCAATTAAACCTACTTTGGAGTTAGAACAAGATAGACCGCGTTTAAGGAGAGAGTAATATTTCGTCTTTAGAAAAAGTGACACATTGTGCAAATCGCCCAGGAATCGAACATTTTTGTTTTGGATGAATTTCGGCCAGCACTTACCTTTTACCACCACATAAAAAACTTCTGCAAAGGGAAAAAAAAGATTCGAAAGTGCAAAATTTTACAAAATTCCGTAATTTGCAAGTTTATTTTTTAAATGGTTTTGGTCGCGTGTTAAATATGACGTTTGGAGCTATCTAAAAAACATATTTAAATAAAAAAATTCTAGAATTTTGAAATTGAAATAATCGTAAAGCAAAAATTTATACGAAATATTGGTTCAATTTTTTTTATATAAAACCTCTAACTGTTCTTAAAAGATTCCGAAATTTTCAAGAAGTTGTTTTTTAAAAGATATGAATTTTTGAACTTTGAAACAAAAATTTTTGCAAACTCTAATGCCGGATTTCCACTAGGCATTCAATGACACTAATTTTAATGACAAAGTTAGACATTAAATTCATTTCCACGTGGCATTTTGTAAATGGTACACATTTTTTATCAATGCCTCGTGGAAATTTAGCAAAAATTAAAAACAAATTTTATAAAATGGTTTAACATAAATTTATTTAGAGTTTGCAAAAAAAAAAGTTCAAAGTTCGAAAATTGATATCTTAAAAAAAAAACACCGTAACTTCAGACTGAAGTCGAAATATAGACGAATTAAAAGCAACAAAAACAGATTGTTTTATTTCAACCCAGCCTTGAGCTCAAAAAAATAAATTTAATTAATACAATCAAAAAAGCACCGGATCTTTGAAGATCTATTGGAGGTAGATATTGTATGAAAAAAAAATTTGTGGACAAATGTTTACAAGTTTTGCTTTTAGATTTTTTTAATTAAAAATACTGTAAACTTTTTTCGAATATTTTTATACGAGCAAAACTTTTTTTGTGACTATAATAGATTTGAGATATTCAAAAAATAAGCTGGCGAAATTCCGAAAATTGTGTAATTTAAAATTTTGCAGCGCATTCGAAAAGAAGTTTCAATTTTTTCCTCGGCAGAACTTTTTCATATGATAAAAGAAGAGTTAAGACCAAAATTCATCCAAATTCCAACCATTGGGCGTACAACATGTGGAATGTTTATTTTATTTTCCAATAGTTCTTATGACGACGAAAACTGCTTGAGAAGTTTCAGTAGTTTTATTTTTGGTTCAACAAGCTGAGATATTAGTGGCACTTGGAATATACGTGGGATGCAGGAAAAGTAGTATATGTATTTGAAAATTATAAGTAAACAAAGCAGGATTTGGAGAAGTGAATTATTAGGTGCTTTACGAAAATTTTACAAGGGTGTGTATTTTATATATATGTATGTATGTATATGAGAATGTGTATAGTATATGTACATTACTAAACGAGCGAACAACAGCGGCACAGTGGTGTGTATTAGAAGCGGAAGCTGTGTAAATTGCGTGTTTGATTTTGTTAAGTTGATTGCCTCATTTGTATGTTCTCATAGCTTTTAGCCGATTTGCGTGTTGATGTTTAATTTTGTTGGTATGTACTCCTATAAGTATTCTATGTTGCTGCTGTATGTATGTGAGGCTCCGTTTTGGGCGCTTCAAAAGTGCCATAACTCTTAACTAGATGCCACTCAATACATGATGATTAGAAAACAAATACAAATTTGGCTAGATAAAAGCTTTAAAATACGAGTTCGCACGCACAGACTGGATACGAAATATCTACGGCGTTAATTTCCAACAGAACTCAACTAAGAAATGCAACGAAGTAAATAGCAAAATGACATAAGATAGTAAATGTGTGTCATGTTACTGGCTATTTCCAAAATTTCAACTCAAACAATGAAGCCGCATAGCTTACCTTTATCTGTTGGTGAGCCCAAAGTCAGACTGCTCAGGCTCGAACTTAAATTGTATGGACGTGGAGATGGTGGCACCGGCACTGCATCATCACCCGGCAGACATGTCTCTACCATAGCCTCCAAGCAGTTAACGAATAACTCAGATGATTCGCCCATCATGTTGTACTGAGGAATAGCACAACAAGTTATGATAATTATAAAAAAAAAAAAAAACAAATAAGCACACCTACCTTTGTAAAGGGTCCGGCGAAACGCCAGAGTCCACCAAAACCGCAACTTTGCAGAAAATGTAACTGCTGCTGTGAGGGGTCCTCGCTGGCCAGCATATTTTGTATGATACTTTGTACTGAATTCAAAACGACTTGATCATGTGAAACAGAGAGTATATTATTGATCTTCTGATCCAGCAGAGAATGGCTGTTCAAATGGAAAAATTATCAAAAAAAAAAAATTACATAAAATATTTTATTTTATTTTGTAAGTGGTATGCAACTTACATAACTGGAAAAACCTTGGGGAAAACCACCGAACCCTCGGCTAGGTACTGATAGAGCACGCGCGTCTCGTTCTCATCCGTTGAATATTTCACCAATGTGGCCAAAACGGTCAACACCAATGCCTGGGTGGACAAATCGGAGAGCACTTCAGGATCTAGCAGCACATTCGACTCATTTGAGACAGATGAACGCGAGCCGCGCTCCTGTGGAGTAGAAAAAATTTGTTGTTGATATTGTTAAGTATTGGATATATTGTATTTACATGAATGGATAAAAGCTAAAAATTGTTTAAAAAATTGTTGAGCTTAGAAACACTTAAGCATTAGAGGCAAGCAGTGGTGCAAACGCGCTAGTCGAGCAAATAAAAAAAGAAAATAAAAGTGATACGGAAAGAACTAAACACAAGACATACCACAACATTATACAGTTATTTCAAAATTAATCTACTTTGTTTGCTTTATTTTTTATTAAAAAAAAATAAAATAAACTAAAAGTAAAAAATATATATGTATATGGATCAATCCATGTCAAATTGACCAATGGCGGGAATCGACAATTATCGATTTGGATGAATTTTTGGTCAAAGTTTTCTTTAATTATATAAAACAGTTCTACAAAAGGAAAAAAGAGAAACAAATTTTTTCCAAAGTTCAAAATTTCAAAAACCCCGGATTTTGCAAATTTATTTTTTGTACATCTCAAAAACTATTATACATATTTGAGGCTATAGAAAAAATTTATATTTATAAAAATCGTTACAGAATTCCAAATTTAAAAAATTATAAAAGAAACTTATAGAATCTTTTAGCAAAATTATTTTTTTATACAATAGCTATAACTGATCTTAAAAGATTCGAATTTTTTGAAAACAAATTTATTTCCAACTCTAAATAGAAATTAAATTTACATTAAATTATAATTGTATATTTAGGGGTTTTCAAACAATTTTTTCTTTCAAAATTCATAGCTTTAAAAACCACCTTCTCGAAAATTTCAAGATTTTTTTAAGATCAGTAAAAAAAAATCAAATTTTTTATAAGTTTTTGTTTTTACGTTTTTTTAATTTCAAAGTTCTGTAAATTATTTTTATTTTTCGATGTTTTGTATATTTTTTCTTTATAGCCCTTTGCTTCAGGGTAAATCAAATAGCCATAAGCGGGGTCTATTTGCGGAAACACTCACAAAAATTAAGCTTCGTATGCTTGATCATTGTAGCGTGCTTCAAGTGGAGCTTACATCCAAGAAGGAAGCTGAGCTATGGTCGATTGATAAAAATCCTGATCTGCGCAGTAGACGAATTTACATAAGGAGGTGGATCGCTTTCAGTCCTAAATACCTCCTACAATGCGGGATTACCGCTAGCATCTTAGAAATTTTGGAGTGTGGATAATAAGCGGTTCTCTCGTTCCTCGCTAGGCATGCCTCTGTCTTAGGTAATCTCGGGGGCTATTTCTCAATGAAATTACATGCCAGGAAAGAGTGGGATTTCCATTGAACGACTACTGTAGGCAATTGTAGGGAGAACGAGAGGGATTCAAGAACGCCGAATACTTTATATGCCATTGCCATCAACTACATGACAAAACGGTACCACAACGGACGAACGAATCCAGTGGTTGAGTTCTTTAGATCTGCATCTCGACCGTAAGTTCGTAAAGAAGCCTTGTGACGTGCCTCCTAGGCTGCTTTACTTCCAGCAAGTGTATTTTTGGATGCTACATAGCTCAGTACACTGCCTTATTCCTAGCTTATAAACTTGCCAAACTCTCGAAGCATAATTTCGAACCGGCCGGCCAAGTGCCTTATATGTTTCCAAGCATCTTTCCTTCCTTTTCCTGCCGGTGAGCGATTTAGGGACGTTGCTGCGGCGGTGGGTATGCCGTTGATATGGACGCCTAATTTCAGCTTGATCTTATTCGCCCAGGTGGTGAAAAGTCCGCAGTTGATTTCATAGGGAAAAGCGTACGGTTTCATGCAGTGAAGAAGCGGAGATGAGCAGAGAGATAACGGTTTACTTTTGAGCACAGGTCATCAATGCCTTTGCTGGACGCCAATACTGAGCAGTCGGCAGTGCATAAGATCAGTGTAACTCTCTCTCTCTCTCTCTGGTCTGAGGAAGCTTCGAGATGTATAAGCTAAGTAGTAGTGGGGAGAAGCTTCGGGTTCATATTTATAATAGTACGGGCGACTGTGGATCACTCAGATAACTCGCCACCCACCGTTTGAGCCTCGCTGGGAGAGAGAGGGTAATGTCGAAATCTTTCGAAAAATCGAATGATACTCGGGTAGTTTCCTCGCAGGGTCAGTTTCGGTTAAAAACACGAGTTATCTGAGACCAAATCTCCATAAGTCAGGAATGACGAGGGTGACTATATTCCGATTAAAGACCTTATTGAGGTAGTCTACACTCGTTGGACGGAAATGTTTTCAGCATCAGCTTGCATATTCTGTTGGGACCAATAGATTTGGAGGCTTTTGCTTTACCGATGCCCACCTTAGCCTGACATTCTAGTGTGAAAACGAAAGTGGAAAACAACTAAGGCAGAAATTGTATTTGACTAATTTTATATTCTGTTCTGGCACACGAAGCTGACAGTGCGAGAAACCAAGATCGGGGTGAGTCCTATGGAGCCGAGAGGGAGCTTCTTGGATGCATGCTTGTATCGTCGGTAGCGAGAGCTGTAGGCGGTGGGAACAAGTGGTGCTGTATGGCTGGAGAAACGTGGGCCACTTCCTATGTGCTTTAAGGTCAGAAAAGGTACTTAGGTGGCTCCATCCTTTGCAAGAGTTACACCTAACTGAAATGAAGTTCGGTTGGAGCCGGCGCTGGCGTGCGCAGTTAGTTAAGCGTTAAAAAATTCATTGACTAAGTAACTCTTCAATCAAATAAATTAAAATTTTTAAAAACCTTTCTAATTTGAAATTAAATATGTATTTGTTAAAGTCAAACTGATTTCAATAAAATTTCTCAAACATTTAAATACCATTATTGTGGGTGCAAAATATATTTTTAATACCGAATTTCCACTCAGAATTGAAATAACACAAAGTTGAATGACAAAGTTGAGAAAAAAACTTTTCTATGAAGGCCGACCAGGAATCGAACCTGTCCGTGTCCACTTAAGATACATTTTGTGTCATTGCAATGCCTAGCGAAAATTCGACATAAGTGCTTATGTTGTTGGAAAAAATCGAACATCTTTTTGGAAATTTGTAACAATCGTTTGTGTGCTTTGGTGTAAAATATCTTTAAAAGTGTCAAGTGCTGTGCAGCGAGTGCAATTAGCTTTCACACAAACATACACCAACATTTCTAAAACATACAAACAGATAAGAAAATAAAAAAAAAGTTATATTAAACTAAAAATAAAGCTAGAAGAGCAGGTCTTCGAAAACGCTATGTAAATAGTAGCATTACAACTAGTAGTAAGAAGTAGCAGTAGAAAAAAAGAAGAAGAAAAGTCAATAGACAATACCTGACGTTCTTCGATAGCGCTCGAATTATTCGGTTCTTTGGTGGTCGGCACCGAAAATGAGCGTTGTGTTTTAAATAAAACCTTCGCGCCCTTCAATTTGAATTCGATTTTTGTTTTATTTTTGTTTTTGTGTGTTTTTTTTTATGCATTAAATATTGCAATATCGAAGTATTTATCCATACATA